ATAAAATTTCAGAAAAAGAAGTCTTATCTAAAATTTATCTGTCTTCATTGCAGGGATGTGACATAAATTAACAGCATATGGCCAGCAGCCATAAGAAGAAAATAAAACAAACAAGAAAACAAAAACAATTAAGCTGAAAAATAGAATATAAAATAATATTGCAGGTTTGTAGTTCAGCCAATTTATCTTGCTGTTTAATAAGTATGCAGGGGATGACCAGAGAAAGCAAACTTATTCGTTCTGCTTACCCAGGAGAAGAGAAGAAAAGACCCGGTGAATTTAGGTATTTCTAAATGCCTCTGTCCTGTTCTTGAGGTCAAAGATACTCATTTATTAACGCTTTGCTTGGGAAAACGATCTCTATTCAGATGGCATTTACTTAAAAAAAAAGATTCAATTTGCCATTGATTTCACCTGGTTGATACAAAAATGTAAATCTAAGCTCTTGTGAAAAGTCTCTTAAAATAGCTACATGATTTGGAACTAATCTCTTGGATAAATGCTAGTTAACTAGATATTAGATCTAGTTTTAACCTAGTCTGAGTTCCGTACTCTGATAATTACCTATATGTAAAATAATATCACTGAACTGCAGGGATAATTTACTATTAGAAATAATTACCCTGTGACCCAAGATCATCAAACAGTTTTGTAAATCTTAGTGTAAGGTAGACAAATTATGCAGTAAATACGACATATGAAGAAACTGTATAATTAATAGGGAATTGACTAAATGCATCTTAGATATTAACAAACTATACTGTGGTACAAAGCTGAATTTTATTTTTTTTATTTTAATTTTTTTATTATTATTATTTTTTGTCTTTTTTCGTGTCCGGCAATGGATCGCAACCCTCAGTGTCGTGCCCGTACCGGACCGGGACTGGCAACGGGATCGCAACCCTCGGTGCTGCACCTGCACCTCGCTCAGCCAGTGAGCGGGAACCGGTCTGTATGTGGGATCCGAACCCTCGGCCACCAGGCCGGCCCCAAAGCTGAGAATGGTCGTGTGTTTATTATTAAGAACAATTTCTCAAAGAGCTAGGTAGACTTCTTAAATGATACTGGAATGTCGGATTATAGTTACTACAATTAGTTGAACTATCCCATTCACTCTTTAAACAAATATTTATTGATTATTTATTGTATGCATGGTACTTACTCTAATAAAATCTAAGGAAAATCTAAAGAAATATAATAGCAGTCTTCCTTTGTTGTGATTGGTGGTGAGAAATTTTATGTGGGTGGCATTAAGGCATATAGCAAAATTAATAAAATATAACTTGTTGGCTGAAGTGAAAAGAGTTTGGGTAAGCCAGACATAAAACTGGTGGGAGAATAAGAATACTGAATATCATAGGAAGGGGCTTATGTTTTATATTGGGGTCGTCTGGAGCTACGGGGATCTCAGGTCTGGACGGCCAGCATAAAAGCAACATTTTTTACATATGAATATTAATTTTAGGTTGATTATTTAGAAAGGTGGCAAATTTCACGACAGGGAGGTATATGGCTTAGGTTATGAAGTTGGCAGTCAGAATGATCAGAAAATAACTGAAATGATGAGACTAACCTTATAATACGTGTATAATATAATAATAGTAAGGAGCAAAGTAAGAGAAAGAGATTGATGAAGTTAGATGGTAAATTCTGTTTCAAAGAAAAAGACAAGTTTTTTTTTTTTATGTTTGTTAAGCTTGAGATGATGTTTATTATGGGATTTTTTCATGAGTGGTACACAACCACCATTTCCACCACTCCCTGCACGACCATCATCCTCACCTCTACTATCTCCACCTCTACCACCATCATTTCCACCTCTACCACCACCACAATCTCCTTCCTTACCCTCTTCACCATCTTTACCACCTCCATCACAACCAAACAACAAGAACTATTGCTATTTATTGAATGTTCACTACGTTAGAGGCACGTATTAAATGTTTTTCACTTAATCCTCACAGTGTTTTATAAAGTGAGGATACTGAGGCATAGATATTAAGTAATTTGCCTGAGATCATAAGCTAGCTATTAAAACAGGCATGTTTCAAACCTGAGTAATTCTGATTCCAAAGGCCATGATTTTTCCGATATTTGCTACTCCTTTAGACACATAGGCAATAAATTATAATAACTAATATATGTGTGCAATGTATGAGTAAGTATGGTTAATTGGAGGCAACAAATGTTTCCATTTAATGAAAATGAAAATTGAGACAATGGTTGGATGTACAAATAGAATTACCCAGATCATAGCTTTAGAGCTGTAAAGGTGAAATCTGAGGTAGAGCCAGATATGGACCTGGACAATTTGGGAATTATTCACTTTAGGCCAGTCTTGAGTCTATGAGAGGAGACAATTCGGTGAAGAAGTCAGAAGGGCAAAGAGATGATATATTTATGATATACTCCCATAGGAATTGGGAAGAAGGAAAAAACCAAGTCAGGTAAAAAGTGGTAGAAGGACAACTGGTAGCGTGTCGTAGAAGCTGAAAGAAGGTATCATTTTTTAAAAGAACAGCATTCAACAGATTATCAAAACTGTAACACTCATGGTGAAACGTTAGTGGCTCTTACATGGAACAAGATAGGGACACTAGCCAACATAATGCTTTTGGTCATGTTTATGTGATGCTTCTTTAACCATTATGTTTTAACCAGATTCTGTCCTGTAGAGAATTACTAACTACTGAATTTAATTGTTCCTAAATGTTTCTTGCTTTATTCTCTTTGTTCAGTCTTAAATTTATCAATCTATATAAAGTGTTCATATAAATGTACTGTCTAAATCAGGACACATTTGAGAGTGAACGTTGGTGTTGTATATAATCATGCTGGGAACACAGGTATAATCTGGGATACTTTCAGACAAACCAAGATATAAGTTCATTTTAGTTATATACCTACTAAAGATAAATGTTACTGTACAGTTCAGGCTCTGTAGCCAAGCTACCTCAATTGAAATCCTGACTCAGACACTCTGAAGCTATGTATAATAGTAATAATAGCCATACCTGTCTTAAAAGATTATTGGGAAGAATAAATGCTATGCAAACGAAGCATTGATCTAGTACTGAGCACATTAAAACAAACAAACATACAAACAAAAAATCCTCAATAAGTGTTAGTTGTTACTTAAGCAATTTTTCTCTATGTTCCCAATTGGACATCTCATTCCAGGCACTTATAAAACCTACTGAAAACATATGATACAAACCGAATTCAGAAGACAAAGTATTTCACCATTAGCCACTCTTTCCTGAAAACAAAAAGAAGGCAGAACACACTACATTCTCCAAACTGGAGCCGAGAATAAGCTTTGAAGACAGTGATAGACATGAGTAAGCTTTCTTGCTTAATTTCCATATTAGGCAAGTCCTAAACACATTAGGAAGGTTAGGCAACTAGGTTTCCATATTACTGTGCTTGGAGAACTGTTGGAGAGTTGTTGAATTGTTGCAAAGCATCCATAAATCCATGCATCCACTAAGCATTGTTTGTATACACATATTTAATGTGACATTAAATATATTAATATACATGCTATTAAGATTTATCAAAAAGCAAATCTATTAAGAGCTTTACTGATTTATTTATACCACGTTTTTTTTTTCTTCAGAAATGAATGCTAAAATTTCAACTGCCATCATAATTAGAGTCCTTGGAAGTTGTTGTTCCAAAAAGAATGCTAATATCCAAAAGAGTTTGAGGTCCATTTGGCTAGAGTAGGGATCAACTTTTTCCTTGACGGGCCAGATAGTAAATGTTTTAGGCTTTGTGGGCCATACAGTTTCTGTTAATAACTATCCAAACCCTGCCTTTGAAATGTGAAAGCAACCATAAATTATACATAATGAATGAGTGTGGCTGTGTTCTGCTAAAACCTTATTCGTGGACACTGAAATTTAAATTTCATATAATTTTCAAACATTCAAAAATGTAAAAACAATTCTTAGCTCATGAGCCACATGAAAACTGGCAGCAGGCTGGATTTGCTTAGCCAAGCACACTTGACTAGGGAGAAAAGGCTCAATGATTTACTTTTGAATTATCAAAGTAGGTCATAAATCATGAATTAATAGAGAAGTATTAAAAGTCTCAAATAATATATTCGAATAACTTTTCTAGATTTTTTTTTCCTTTGCTTAGAACATCTGACATACTATTTTTAGGTATGTGTTCTTCCCATACTTCTCTACCCTGGTCTATGCAAATTCTAATGTCAAGTGTTCCATGCGTTCCTAAACATATGCTGCTTGGAAACATAAGGCAGATTTTAATGTGCTTTCTTAATCTTAGAATTACAATAACTGAAATTTAAAAAGTACCATTTTTAAAGATTTTCATTCTGGCTTTGCATTTATAGAATTTTATTGCCATCATTTTAATATATCCACTGATTTACATAATACCTAACTTATCTACAGTGTCTAGTTGAGAATATCCACAAAAAGATCAGTTAAAAATTCTAGCACCTTCAAGATAAGACTTTATAAATATCAAAGAACAGGAAATCTGTTCTGTAATTACTCCTGATTTAGGATGCACAGATTGAGACATTATATTCTCCTAAACTAGCAGAATGGATCTTGTCTATTACAGATGTACTTCTTCATGAAAATGTACTTTCCATTATCGGAAGAAGGACAAGTAATGAAAAAAAAAAAAAAGGGACTGAACAAGAAAGCCTTTTATGAGAAAAAATAAACTTTCAGGATTCAAATGGATCCATGGCAGTTCATCACCCATGGTACCTTTTTTCAATCCAGAAAACAGCATTTCTATGAAACATTCAGTTTTTGATGGGATAGTGATTTCTTGGGCGACTTTTAAAACATGTCATAACTTTTCTCACAAAATTAACTGACATTATAGGCACCCAAAGCTTCTTGAAATATTGTAGTAGTAAAACCACCACTATCAAAAGAGCTGTAAATGAGTTTTCCTTCTTAACAATGGATATTCACTTGTGAATAAAACCATGAAGAAGATGATCTCACCTTTTCCTAATTTCAGAATCCACAATAATCTGTCTCTTCTTTTGGGGAGGTGGTGGTGGAAGTTCCTCTTGGGCATGCTTTACAAGGATTTGCTCCCTCGTGGTCACCATAGTTACCGTTTCCATTACAGTTGTCTGTGTTAGTGATGGCTGAGTGGTGGTGACAGCCTGTGAAATCTGTGAGAAGTATTGAAACAGAGGTCAGACATTGCTTGAAAGACTTCAGTAAAGACTGCTTGGAGTGGTGAAGGAAAGTAATGAGAAACTGTTCCTGCTTGTTGAACTTTAGATCAAAATAGCACCATATTGAACCTAAATCAAATTGTTTTATTTGACTTATGTTGACTAAAATAGCAAAAGAAGGTAATCTTAAAACCAGAGGTAAACTTAGTGCCTCTTCAATCTGTTGGTCAAACTATAGGAAATAAGGGGAGTAAAGAGGAAAAACTTAGGATGTCATTCTGATATTTAATTAGTCATGCCATTTAGAGTGTTTACAATGTTAATATAAATTCTACTAAGGTATCTCCATTCCCTGGCACATTGTAGATATTTATCAAGTTTGTAGAATGCAGTTTTGTTTGTCATATAAAGTGATTATTTTATATGCTATGCATTTTTAAATAGAATTAGTTGAATATCATAATAAGTTACTTTTTAACCAAATAATTGTAACATCTTTTAAAATCACAATAAAAAGGTAACGTAAAATGTCTATTACCCCATAAGTATCTTTATGCTGAATATTATTCAAATCCTAAAAAACACACTAAACTTGTTTTATTTAAATTAGTGAATATTTCTAAATATTTGAGTTTTCAAATTTATCATTAGAGACTCTCCTTGGTTTAGAATCACACTCATTCTCTATTCATACTTTTTTTGGGGAGGTATAGTATATCAGTCTTTGGAAAAATATGGTTTGTGACCCAAGTCATGAGAGACCATCACCCAATACATGGGCCTTGTAAGACAGATATGTCATATAATAATGAGACACTTCTTCCTTCTTTAAGCACCAATTCTCTATCTCACAGTTCTTCTCTTATTATGACTATAAAGTTACCTCTTAGGATGCTAATCATCACCCTTCTGACAATCCAATTTATTTGGAATATCAGTTTCAAAAGAGACCATAAAGTCTTGCATTGAATCTGCTTTTAGGTACAAGCACAGAGCTAGAGATCTATCTGCGAACCAGATTAGTTTTACTGAGTTTTTGAACTTTCCAAGAGATATGGGAAGGGTTTGAAATAACCTCCCTGCCTCATACAGGATGACTGGTTCCTTCAAAGGGAGGAAATGGGGGGAACGCTCAGGGTTTTCTTATTTCAGCTTCCAAATAGGCAAGTAATAGTGAAGGAAAATAAATAAATTAAAATTTTTGCCACAATGTCTTAGGTAAAAATTTATTTGACCTATATTTTTCAAATATCACCCTTTGTTTAAACCACATCTTTACATATGTCAAGGCCTGAGTTACTTCTACTTTGGTGATTTAAATAAGCAAAACAAAACAAAACCCAAAACACTAAGAGATAATGAGTTTCTTACACATGCCAATCACAGGTTATATCTTCTCTAAGATCTTCATAGATTAATTATTCAGAATTAATAACTGAGCCTCAAACAACTTTAATTTTATACTCCGTTAATATGTTATGCCAAGATGAAAGCATAAAGAATCATAATTTTTAAAAATGCTTAACATATAAACTCAAATGTAATTGCACCCAACACAAAATGACCCTTATATGATAAAAGTAAGGTTACATGTAGCCAAGAAGAAAATGTAATTTTTAGTAGGATTCTAAGAGTATTTATTTTTTTCATTGTGATATGTTTTTAAACGTGAGCAAATTTTATTGCATACAACGATGGCTAAAAGAGACTTTTTAAAAATTTTAATTTATTAAATTACAATGTAGTTGATTTTTGTGTCCCTTTACCAATTCAAGGAGGAGAATTATTTTTTTAAAATTAGGAGAATATCTAATTTTAAATGGTGCAGGTGCCAGAATGCTGAAATTCTGAAAATACAAAGCTATCTTTTGCAGTAATATCTAATCTTTTGGAACATTTGTGCTATTGAATATTTGGCTTTGAAATTTATTTCTGTGATGTTAGTATTTTTATTGATACCTATTATAAAATTGGACAGATAGGCCTATGGAGAATAAAGTAATGGGAAATGACAACATGATATGCTGCAAAATTGCATTGAAGAATACAGCAAAACTTAAAAGAAAGAAAAATAGAATCATTGTTAATAAAACAGTAGTAAGACATGGATCTGTAATTGTTCTATACTGTAATCACTACTGCAGTATAATTGAAAATACTTTTTCATTTCCTTTGGTAGGAGAAATAAGAAAACTGTGCACTGACCCTGTAAATACAGGGTAGAATTCATTATACATAACAAGTTAATAATTACTCTCAAAACCTCCATATAATCAGAATAGAAAACAGTCACGTAGTAAATTTCCTCATGACTTTTAGTTATTGACTATAAACAATTATGTGTTAGAATCATTAAAAAACATAAATAGCAGAGGGATTATAGAGGTCATTCAATATAACCTCCTGCTTACTATAGGATTCACTACTCCCAGAAGCAGACAACTCCTTCCTTAACATGGCAGTAAACTTTCAGGTTGGCAAAGATCTTGTTAACATTTAGTGGAAGCCTGCCTTATTATGACCTTTTCAAGTTAAATTTTGTTTTGAACCTTGGACCAACACAGAGTAAACTGAGTGTCATTTATACCTGACAGTATTAAAGATCTGAAGCCTGATAATCATGACCCTGATAAATCTCATTTTCAAGCTGTCTACTGCCAGTTATTTGCTAGAACTAGATTTAATCTGATCAGTGCTTGAGAACCAAGGATTCCTGGATTTGGACAGCATATTCAATTAAAACAATCTAAAATTTTGTAAGTTAGTCAGCAGCTGAATCACAAAGTTTCAATTAAATTCTAACATTTATTTATTATTTATTTACTATAGGACATTCAGAAATGAGTAAAAGACAATCTCCATCTTTAGGAATCTTACGATATAGTAGAGAAAGTGACAATCACACAAATAATTGTGAAATAAGGTAAGTGACATATGAAAAATATAAGTATGTAAAATAATTACATGCACTGAATACAAAGCGATCAAGGAAGTCTCTTTTTAAATGTTACAAAAACAGACTTCCCTCAGCCGGCATCTTAAAACTTAAATTTATTTTGAAACTAAATTCTAGATATAAAGTTTATCCCTGTTCATAGGGTCACTTATAACAGTAAAATATAGGAAACAACCTAATGTCAGTAGGTGATGGTTTAAATAAGTTATAGTATATGCATGTGATAGAGTATTGCATATATGTCTAATATTTTAATATTATTGGAAAATGTTTGCATTATAGTCCTGAGTAAACAATGCAAAATATAAACATTGGTAGCTATCTTTTGGCAGAAAAAATCAGATAATTTCCATTGTGCACTATATATTTATGTATTCCTTTTAGTTTCCAAATTTCTACTGTAAAAGATTTTCTGCAAAATGTTGCCTATGTAAGCATAGAAAATTTTCAAAATATTATTTTTTCCAAATTTTTGTGTTAAGTGTATCATTCCTATGTATCGAGTTCTTTGGAATTATGTTCCTGTCATCCAAATGCACTAGAATTAGGACAGCTGCAAATCTGATAAGAATGATTTAATGCCTTCACTAAAATATTGTGCAGGGTAGAGTAAAAATTAGAATAAAGTCTGAGCTATATTCAACAAACTTTGAATCTACCTAACTACACTCTTATCCAGTCATCTTTCTCCGTGTTGATTATGAGTATATTTTAAATGACTTTCAAATGTCCTCATGGAAATAAACTATATTTGTTTTCTATATACTATTCTTTGATCTTTCAGAAAGAATTACATACTTTCTTAAGGAATTAGAACTAGTTCCTCTTAGAGTATATAAAACTGGAGATTCCACAACTGTCAATCATCAGTTCCATAGTTCACATACTGTGATATCTGTGGTTAGTTGGTTACTATCTCAGAGTTTTGATTTATTTTCTTCATAAGTAAAACAGGAATGATAACACATCTCTCACAGGGGCATTGCAAGGCTGTATGTGTGAGTATGTGAGTGAGTGAATGTGTGTGTATGTGTGTGTAATTTATGCTGTTTCCCAGGGCCCCCGCTCAGAAGGTCTCCCTCCATTCTTGGTTTCATGCTCTGGTATCATTCTCTTCAAATTCTTAATGGTTTTGAACAAGAAGCCCTGCATTTTCATTTTGCACTGGGTCAATAAATGCTGTAGCCAGTCCTTGTTTCAAGAATTAAATGATGTAAAGTGTGGACACAATAAGTGCTCTCTATTGATACATTTATTATTAACCAATATCTTTTATAAATGCTCAGGGAAATTACAAGAAGTTTTTATAGTGAACCTTTTTACTAATAAGGTTGCATATATTAATTTCCAAAATTTAAATTTTTCTATTTTGAAAAAAATTGGAAGAGCATTTGCCCAGCCTCCTGGTTATTCTAGGGTGTGCACCTTCTTGCAGTAAGACTGTGTGATTTTGGTAGGTCTGGAAAAATCAAACTACTCTCAAGCAATGAAGTTCTTTCGTACAACATTTTCTTCCAATTTGTTTAAAAATGCCCATATTGAGTAGTATTCCATTGTGTACATATACCACATTTTCCTTATCCAGTCATCCATTGATGGATATTTAGGTTGGTTCCATATCTTGGCTACTGGAAAATGTGGTATATATATGCAACAGACTACTACTCAGCCACGAAAAAAGGAATGAAATTCTGCCATTTTCAGCAACATGGATGAGCTTGGAGAAAATTATGTTAAGTGAAATAAGCCAGGCACAGAAAGAGAAATACCACATACCATTATAAATAAGAGCTAAAAAGGAAAAAAAAAAAGAAAGAGCAAACACAATTTGAACTTTCAGAAGGAGAGAACAGAACTGTGATTATTAGGAGGAAAGAAGGAGGGGGAGGGGAGTTAGGGAGTAATTGGGTAAGGGACACAAAGCATGATTACAATTTGTAATGATGAACATGCTAATAATATTGATTCGATCTTCACACTATTGTACACAAAAACTGATAGTCAACTCTGTATCCCATAAATATGTATAAGCAATTAT